AAGGAAGGAAGGAAGGAAGGAAGGAAGGAAGGAAGGAAGGAAGGAAGGAAGGAAGGAAAGAAAGAAAGAAAGAAAGAAAGGGATGTGGAGAGATGGCTCAGCAGTAAAGGGTGCTTGCTGCTTTTCCAGGGGATCCCAGTTTGGTTCCCAACACCCATGTCAGGTGCCTTACAACCACCTTTAACTCCAGAGGATTCAACACCCTCTTCTGGCTTCCTTGGGTACATGCACACAAGTGGCATACATTCATGCAGGCACACACACATACACATACATAAGAATAAACCTTAAGAAAAAAATGTAAGCTGGACATGGTGGCATGGGCCTGTAATCTCAGTGCTAGGTTGGTGAAAACAGGCAGCTAAATCCTTGGGGCTCTCTGGCCAGCCAGCTTTGCCTACCTGGCAATTTTCAGGCCAGCAAGAGCCTCTGTCTCAAAAAACAAAGTGGAGCCGGGTATGATAGTGCATGCCTTTAACCCCAGCACGGGAGGGGCAGAGGCTGGCTGATCTCTGTGAGTTCAAGTTCACTCTGGTCTATATAGTACATTCCAGGCCAGCCATGGCTACATAGACCTTGTCTCAAAACATAAAGCAAAACAAAATACACCCCCCACACACACACACGGACACACACGCACACACACACATGCACACCAATGCACACACAAGTTTAGCCCAAATAAATTACCTAAAGGGACAATGGACCAATCATCACTGGTAGAAGATTCCAGAAACCAGGGGCTGAGGCTTTGAAAGCAGGAAGCCTGAGGTGTAACCACACTAGGTCAGGGGAACTGCAGGCAAGAAAGTCCCAAGTACAACATGGGAAAATGAATCGGTCCAAACTTCTCATGGGACCTTTCTTGCTACATCTCTACATACAACCCCATTCCACCAACACAGGATGGGTCAGAAGCCACCGTCCACCTGGGGTGAGGAAGAGGATGAAAGGGAGATGAAGAAATAGAGAAGCCAGATGCTCTAGTTCCCAAATGCAGGTGTTTATAGAAAACAGAACACTCAAGAGGGGAAGTGGGGAAGCTGTAACATTTAAGAGAGCTCAGAGTTTATTAACGTGAACAGGACAGTAGGCTACTGCAATAAACCCAGTTATCTAGAGGCAATTCAAAAGCAAGTAAAGATTTCAACAGTGGGGAGGCCAGCAAGAGGTCTCAGTGGGTAAAGGCGGTTGCTGCCAAACTTGACCACCTGAGTTCGAGTCCCAGGACCAATATGGTGGAGGGCTAGAACTGACTTCCCCAAGTTGTCCTCTGACCTCCACATACTCACCATGGCATGCAAAATAAATAAAAATGAGGTTTCCAGCCAGGCTGAGCTGGTGACTGAGTTCACTGAAGGACTCAGTTGTAGAATTTGTGATTGACAAAGATCAAAGTCATGGCAGGCCCAGAAACTGATGGCCAATTCCAGTTTCCTGGTATTAAAAAATATTTCAACTCTTATAGTCTCACGGGTGGATGGATTATGTATTGGTCACATATGGTGGCACTGCTTTGTTGGTCTTATACTTCAAGTTAAGGAATAAAAAAACTCCAGCTGTTGCTGGATGTGGTGGCACACATCTTTAATCCTAGTACTCAGGAGGCAGAGGCAGGCAGATCTCTGTGAATTCAAGGGCCACCTGGTCTACACAGTGAGTTCCAGGCCAGCTGGGGCTACAAGGAGATCCTGTCCAAAAAAAAAAAAACAAAAAAAAACCCAAACCAAAAATCTCCAGCTGTTGTAGAATAAATTATGAACCTGTAAAAATGTGCTAAACAATTTTTAAAGATGCAACATATGTTGCTGAAGAGATGGCTCAGCAGTTAAGAGTACTGGATGCTCTTGTAGAGAATCCAGGTTCAGTTCCCAGCACCCACATGGTCGCTAACAACCATCCATAACTCCAGTTCCAGGGGATCAGATGCCCTTTTCTGTCTTCAGCAGGCATTGCATACATGTAGTGAGGTTACATACATGCAGGCAAAACACTCATAGGCATAAAAATAAACTAAAATAAGCCGGGTGTGGTGGCGCATGCCTTCAATCCCAGCACTCGGGAGGCAGAGGCAGATGGATCTCTGTGAGTTCAAGGCCAGCCTGGTCTACATGGTGAGTTCCAGGACAGCTGGAGCCACAGGGAGACCCTGTATCAAAAAGACAAATAAATAAATAAACAAACAAACAAACAAAATTTTTTAACAAGATGCAACACGGAGCTAGAGAGATGGCTCAGCAGGTAACATTGCATACTGCTCTTCCAGAGGACCCTCGTTCACTTTCCAGCACCCATGTCAGGTGGCTCACATCTACCTGTTAACTCCAGCTCTTGGGGATCTGATGCCATCTCTGGCCTCCATGGGCACTGCACTCACATGCACATACACACACAGAAATATACACATAATATAAAAAAACTTTTCAAAAAGATGCAATATGACTTTATGACTCCATTCTGCTTCGTTTTTGGTCTCACTTTGTAGCCCAAGCTGGCCCTGAACCTGAGATCCTCCTGCCTCACTCTCTTGAGTGCTGGGATGATAGCCAAGCAACATCACACTGGGCTCTGAACCCTGCTTACAGGATTGGGACAGCCCTGCCATGGAACCATTACTTCATCATCAGATGTTGAGATGGAACAATCATCTTGAGAATTTGGAGGGAGGCAGATCGGAGTGGCATGTAAGGCTTTTTCAACAGTCATTTGGGATGGGCTAGGTAGAGGATTTGGGAGGTAGTGAGTTTCTTCTCCCTAGACACATGTCAGTTGCAAGAATGCAGAAGGGAGGGAGCCCTGGTGTGGGTGTGGCCCTGAGAATCTATGCAGTTTCTCATGTCCTCTACTCTACCCTTCATGTCCACAGAGGGAAACCTTGAACTTTTAAAAATATTTTAATTCATTTATTTTTATTTTATGAGTTTTGCCTGCATGTTATGTACCACATGTATGTAATACCTGCAGAGGCCAGAAGAGGGTGTCAGATCCCCTAGAACTAGAGTTATGGATGGTTGCTAGCTGCCATGGGGGTGCTGGGAACTGAACCTGGGTCCTATGCAAGAGGCCAGTGTTTTTAACCACTGAGCCATCTCTCCACTCCAAACTTGAACTTCTGATCCTTGTACTTCCACCACTTGAGTGCTGAGAATACACACCTACACCACTACACTGATGCCCAGTTTATGAGGTAGAGGATCAAACCCAGGACTTCATGCATGCTAGGCAAGCACTTTCCCAACTGATCTACAGTCTCCAGCCCTGTCCACATCCCTTTCATTCATTTCTCAAACCTGGATGAGCACAAATTCTTACTTGAGACCTTCCTGCACTGGCTCCACCCTCTCTGTTTCAGAGGCTTCATCTAAACTCAGTCAATGCTGAAATTGATTGAGACCCACTCTCATTAAAGTAGACCACATAGGTGAGCTCAATTAATAGAGTGCTTGCCAAACACGTGCAAGGCCTTGGGTTCCAACCTTACCACTGTATACTGGGCATGGTGACACACACCTGTAATCCCAGTCCTGGGGAGGTGGAGGCAAGAGGGTCACCCTTGGCTACATAGCCTGGGATACATTAAACTGTTAAAAATAATAGTTCCTGACCCCCAGGCAATGTCAGGCTTCTAGGTTAAGATAGAAAGTTAAACAATGACCAGAGAACACACTCACGGATGTGATTGACACTTACTTGCTCAAATGTTCCTACCCCAGAAGAAATGATCTGTCACCCTGAATACAGACTTATGTTTTCCTACCTCCAGCTTTCCCTATGGGCTCTTTTCTCCTCCCTTTGTTATCCTAAATACTTCCTATTGAAGAACCAGCTCTTTATAGCTTACTAGTTCTCTCCTACCATGTGAGTCCCAGAACTCAGGTTGTCAGGCTTGGGGGCAAGCTCCTGTACTCACTGAGCCATCTTGTAGACACACCAATTCTGAGTAAGTTTCCAGATAAGAGATCCTCCTCCCTCCTCTGGCTTTCCATTGAGATCCACCCACTCTTCTGGCAGGTCTCAGCTTAGGTGGGTCATCTTCTGGAAGGTTCTCTGACATGGCCTCCATCCTAGTCTCACGTTTGAAGATTCCCATCATACTGGATAACTTCTTCTGTTGTTACCTAGATCCCTCCACTAGACTCATATATGGATGGTGACCACAGGTTGGATACCCAACTCCAAGACTGGCCTGAAACAGCCTGGCAGCGCAGCACATGGGTGGAGGGAAGAAAGTGGAAGGCTGCCATGATGAACTCTCATTCATGCCTTGGTATGGTCTTTTTTCCCCCAAACATTTTTGGTTTATTTTTATTATGGGTATGAGTTGTTCTGTCTTGTTTATGCGTGCACCCATGTTGTGCAAAGAGCTGGTAAGTTCTTTAACCCCTGTGCTGGCTGCTTTTCCCACTCTTGCTTTCCCTGTCACTGTCCCCAGATAGATGGAGTCATTGATCCATGTGGGTGTTACAGCCTGTGTGGTACAACTATTCATCTCACTTAACTCTGAATTGTCCTGTGTGTATGTGTGTGTGTGTGTGTGTGTGTGTGTGTGTGTGTGTGTGTTCTCACCAGCAGGGGCGCGTGCACAGCGTTGGAACTTGTGACTTAGTAAGGCTGGGTGCAACTCGAGGGACGGCCTCTCTGAAAAGTGCAGGGTGAAAAGGCCGCCCACCCGGCCCCGGGACGCAACCTCTCCTCGGCTCCCCCACTTTCTCTTCTATGGCGGAGCTTGGAGCCCACGCCTCCCTCCAGGGGCAGAAGGGCTGGGCCTAGCTGAGGTCAGGGGCACGGCCGCCTGACCTGCTGCAAGACTTCCGGGCTCCCGGGCACGACGTCCGTCTGAAACCCCTCCTGTGAAATGGATCCTCTACGGCGCTTCCAGCTTAACGCAGGTCCTCTTCCCACTCTTGGGCGTGCTCACAAACCCAACAGGCGCTAGGATCAAGACAAGTATGAGGTTGCTAGGGGGATTCCCTACCTTCCTCCCCAAACGCAGAAGAGCTTATCCTATCGCGAGATCTGGAAGTGGGCGGGGTCAAAACTTGGTTCTAGCTTGTGAGGGGCGTGACTGACTCGTGAGATTTGGGAAGTGGGCGGAGCCGAAAGTTTTTTCTTGTGAGACCAAACCAGAACAGAGCTGGGTCTTTCTCGCGAGATTTGGCGGCTTCTCTCGCGATATCAGGCGCAAAGGAGCCGGGCGGGCACTGCGCAGCGTGGAGGTCGTAGGAGTCATTTCTCTGTTGACAGTTCCTGTGTCTGCTGTCCCGCACCCCGCCCGGCCCAGCCATGCTGTCCGCTTTCGCCCGGCCTGCCAGGGCCGCTCTCCGCCGCAACTTCAGCATCTCAGCCCAGGTACGACAGGGCGGCCGGTACTGCGGGGACAGCCTGTGTGTCCCGGGTGTGCGCGGATTCTCATCCCGCCCCCACCTCATGGCCGCCCGGTGCAGTGCTGCGGCCGGGACATCCTGCTGGAAGTGCTGGGATAAAATAGGTACAGATCTCCCGGAACCTGCGCCGCCTCCAGGTGGCGAAGCCAAGACTCGGTCTGAAAATCAATTGCACTTTCCATTGTTTCAACAAAAGTAGTTCTCTCTCTGCAGCATCCATGTGATTTAGGCGCGAATAGTATAGTTTCACGTTAACTCGGTGCTGGGCCGGAGGCGCCGAGGCTAGAGAACTGAGTCAAGGTTACTAACGGTCGTTTGAGAGAATTGATTGAAAATCAGAGCTCCTGAGCACTGTCAGTAGCATTCCCTCTAAGAGTTTGCTTTATTTTAATTAAAAACTGCTTTTTGGAGGGGGTTGAGACAGGGTCTCCCTGTAAGCCCCACCTGGCCTGGAAATCGCTATGTAGACCAGGCTGGCCTCTATCACAGAGATCTCCCTGCTTCTGCTTCTCTAGTGCTGGTGCTAAAGGCATGCACCATCATGTCCCTCTTTGTAAAAATTTTGTGTGTGTGTGTGTGTGTGATTTGTATGTGCATGTGTGTGCTCAGAGGCCAGAGGAGGATATTAGGGGTCCTGCATATTCTCCATCTTGAGACAGGGTCTTTTGATTGAACCTGCTAGACTGGTGGTTAGCAATCTCCAGTAATCATCCTGTCTGTGCCCCACACAGACCTGTGGTTACAGGCTCCTGATACTTGGCCTTTTAACCTGGTTGCTGAGGATTTGAACTCAAGTCTTCATGCTTGACTCGCAAGGGCTCTTAACCCACTGAACCATCTCCTTTCCTGGAGGCTGCTTTCACTTGAGGATTATTCTTGGAGGATCATCCCTGCTGTGGGCAGACCAGGCCTGCCCCCAGATGTTTGGGCAGTGCCTGACTTGGCCTGGGACCACTTACATCTAAGCTATTTTTAGTCACCTTTTACTGGGAGAGTGTGATTCTCTGACCAGTGCTTGTCAGAATCAGCCGGAACCAATAAGGAAGGCTCTTGGTTGTGTAGTGAGAGTGGGAGGTGGGCTCTGTATTTTAGGAAAGATCCATGTGTGCATGTTTGTACCACATTGTATGTGTGGAAACAAAGGAGGACTTGAGGGAGTCAGTCCTCTTCATGATGTGGGTCCCTGGGGATCGAACTCAGGTCATCAAGCTTGGGGGCAAGTTCCTTTATCCACTGTCTTTCCCTCATTTTAAAGTATGTTGGTAATAAGCCCTGAAGGGAAAAAAGGAAGGGGAGGAGGGGCTGAAAAGGAAGTTGAGATTTTACTTATTTTAAAAAATTTGTATTGTTATAGGGAGCATAATGTATGTATGTGTATGTAAGAGTATGTGTGTAAGAGCATGTGCATGGCACAGCATGCATGTAAAAGTTAGAGGGTAACTTTCAGGAGTCACTTATCTCTTTCCACCAAGTTGGTTCAGGTATCAACTCAGGACACCAGGCTTTTGAAGCAAGCACTTTACCCACTGGAGCCATCTCTCCAGCCCAGAAGATTGAGATTTTACATTAGTCCAGCAATATGACATTTGAGTAAAGGTCAAAGGAAGCAGACATCACACACAGAGAATTCAGGGCTGAGGGACAGTAACTGAGCCCAGGGTTTGGGGGACAGGAATGCCTGGAATATTTTAGACTACAAAGAGGAAGATTTGGGGGGTTGGAGCAGGCCTTACAAACTTGTGTGTTTTCTCAAAAACAGGGCTCCACCTGAGGGTTTGGGACAGAGCAATGGCATGATCTTACTAGATAAAGGGGAGGGAGACAAGTGAGTTCTTGTAATCTGGGTGACAGCTGGGTATGTGATAAAAGTTGGTGGAGCCAATGGGATTTGCTGATGATTCAATAAGGGAGTAGGGGAGAGAGTGGAGTCCTGGCTGACACAAGGTTTGGGGGTATGGAATTGAAATGTACTGAATGATTGACAGCACTCAGTGGTAGAGTACCCACCTAGACTCCCCGAATGAGGGTCTGAGGGTGTGGCTCAGTGGAAGAGAGCCTGCATAGCATAAGCAAGACCTGGGGTTCAATCCACAGTAGTCAGGTAAATCAACTAAGGAAAGAAAGTGGAAGAGAGCATGTTTGGGGCAGGCGGGTAGAATCAGCAGTTCAGCTTTATGGATTTAGAAAAACTAAATTCAGGTATAATAAAATGCCAGTTAATCGATGGAGCTGTGGAGAAGGCAGTGGTATAAGTCAGAGAGGTGGGCTTGAGCCAAGAGTTTTTGATCTCTAGACTTTGGATCCTATATCCTCAGTAGAAAGATGTAACATACAGCCCAAAATATCTGCGTGCCTGCATACATTTAATATAATCATCACAATATAAGTTTAAAACAGGATTGAAGACTTCTGTTCCAAAAAGCGAAGTTGTTAATGAACCAACTGTATATCTGTCTTCAGGAAAGTTGCCAAGCAGTGTGCTGTTGATGGGTACTGTTTTGCTCAACAAAGGGCAGTGGATTTAGAAAGGACCACTGTGGTGATGCACTGTAAAGATCCCACCACAGTGGCTGGCAAGATGGCTCAGGGTGTAAAGGCATCTGCTGCCAAGCTTGACTTAACCTGAGTTTAATCCCCAGGATCTACATGGTAGGAGAAAACAGATTGCTGTGAGTTGTCTACTAACAAATAATTAAATGTAATAAAAAAATCAATTTAATAGCCGGGTGTGGTGGCACACGCCTGTAGTCCCAGCACTTGGGAGGCAGAGGCAGGCGGATCTCTGTGAGTTCAAGGCCAGCCTGGTCTACATAGTGAGTTCCAGGACAGCTGGGGCTACAGGGAGACCCTGCTTCAAAAAAACCAAAAAAAAAAAAAAAAAAGAAATTTAATAAATGTTCCCATGACTCAAAGGCTGGGTGAAAACTGGCAAAGTTGCTGACACTTCAAACAAGGCCATGATAACCATGGGAGCAGAGAACTGAGGAAGGCCCTCCTCCCTCCTCCCCATGCTGGGTTCACATCAACACTGTACAGAGCAGTCCATTTAAGGAGTGGGGAACAGCTCAGCTTGTTTCTTGGTAGCATTTGATTTCTTGTTAGATAAAAATAAGCTAGGTATGATGGTGTACACTTGTGATCCCAAGCCCCTCATCCCTATGAGCTCTAAGGGCCAGCCTGGGTTATGTAGCAAGAATCACTGTCAAAGCAACTGAACAAACAAAAGCCCTACAGACTTTGGACTTCTGTGTCCTGTGCCCCCTCTGGGGGGGTTGCCTTGTGTTTGCTGCTGTGGTGCCTCCTCTGCCCCATCAACTTTGGAAGGGAAGCAGAGCAAGCATGACACATGGGCTTCTGAGTGAATGAAATGATGGCGCTGTGGTGTGGTGGTAAGGGAAAGCAGCTTAGAGATGCAGCTGAATGGGACTCAGTGTCTTGAGGAACAGCCCTCCTGAGTGCTGGGGATGGAACCCAACCCTGGTCCTCTTGTATGTGCTTGGCAAACACACTATCACTGTGCCACACCCCAACCTTGGGCTTTGGGTTTTGATAACCAGAGCCCATTAGTTATTATTACAGCATTAATTACTATGGAATATACCCCAACCTTGGGCTTTGGATTTTGATAACCAAAGCCCGTTGTTAACTATAATAGCATTAATTACTGTAGAATATACACTTAGTGCTCTGGGTCCATGTGTCTTCCACCCCATAGATCCAGCAAACCTTGGACTAAAAATGTTCACACCGGAAAAAAATATATATATGTATGAACTTTTTCTTGCTTTTACTCTGAACAAAACAGTTTTCAAAACTAACTGAATGATATTTACATTGTGTTAGGTAGTACAAGTAATATATTTAAAAATTTTACATTTTTAGGGGGCCTGCAGAGATGACTCAGCAGATAAGAGCACTGGCTGCTCTCGTTGAGGACCTGGGTGTACCTGCCTACATACATGCAGGCAATACGCTCGTACATGTAAAATAAAAATAATAAATATTTTTAATGTAAGGAAGTTTTACATTTTTAAAGTTTTATGTGTATGAGTGTTCTGATTCCATATAAGTGTATACAATGCCTGCAGAGGCCAGAAGAGGGCATTGGATCCTTTTAGATTGGAGTTACAGATGGTTGTTAGCTGCCATATGGGTGCTGGGAACTGAATGCAGGTTCTCTGCAAGAGCACCCAGTGCTCCTAACCACTGAGCCATCTCTCCAACCCCTAATTTTTTTTTTTTTAAAAATCTTCTATCTTGTGTGGTCATGGAAACTTGTTAAGGTGCACGTTGTATTCCCGACATCAAAGAACTTCCTATGTAGACTGGTTGTCGGTATTAAAGGACAACTTTTGGGAGTCAGTTCTCTTTTTTGCCACATGGGTCCTGGATTTGAACTTAGGTCACCAGGCTTTGTGGCAGGCCCCCCTTTACTTGCTGAGTCATCTCACAAATAATCTTGACATGGTTATAGTATAGGAGAGGGGCTGGGGATGGAGCTGAGTAGCAAAGCACTTGCCTAACATGAGCAAGGCCCTCTGTTCAACCCCTACTACTTCAAAAGGGAGGGAGGAGAGGGCAGGATGCATGTCAGTTATATGCAATACTACTAGATACTGGGGGTTTGGTCTCTTGGGGTGAGGGAACGCTGGAAGAAGCCCCCCATGGCCACAGAAAAATAGCAGTTTCTCACTAGCTCCTTCCCACCTCGATTCTAGTGCAGCGAGGGACTGCTTGGATCTCAGTTAATTCTTGTTGGCAGTGTATAAGTATAGATCAAAGGTGAGGCTGCTGTGGGTCCAGATGCCTGGCTGGGTAGAGCTGCTTCCTTATCTGTAGAAAGGCAGCTAGAGCATGCATCCTGTATCTCTAGGCTTGTGCTCTCTCCACTTGAACCTGGACCTTGGGGTGAAGGTGCAGACTTCCAAAGTAGTGAAGCTGGTGGAAATGGCCACCATGTCCTATTGTCTTAAGTGTTGTTTCTCTGCTTCTTTCTAGAACAATGCCAAGGTAGCCGTGCTGGGTGCCTCCGGAGGAATCGGGCAGCCCCTTTCACTCCTCCTGAAGAACAGCCCCTTAGTGAGCCGACTGACCCTCTACGATATCGCTCATACGCCGGGCGTGGCCGCTGATCTGAGTCACATCGAGACCAGAGCTAATGTGAAAGGTACTGGGTTACCGCTACAACAGGCCAGGGTCCAAGTTCTAGAGCAAGACCTCAGATGAACCCAGAAAGTTATAGATTTGGCTGCATAGTCATTTTAGATTGAAACTTAACAAATGACAGTACAGTTTTGAACTTGGGTTTGTAAACCTTAAGTAGCGTTTAGAAAAACAAGTTGGGGCCAGTGAGATGGCCTGGTGGGCAAAGGTGCTTGCCATGCAAGCCGGGTGACCTGAGTTCATTCCCTAGAGCCCTCATAAAGGTGAAAGGAGAGAACTAGTTCCACAAAGTTGTGTTGGATATGTTCCACTCACAGGCTGTGACACACATGCATGAGCTCACACACCATGCCATAATAAATAAAAATGTATTTTGAAAGTGTGAAGCAGAACCAGGGTTGGTAGTACATGCCTTTTAATCTCAGCACTTAAGAGGCAGAGGCAGATGAATCTCTGTGAGATCGAAGCCAGCCAGACTACATAGTGAGTTCCAGGCCAGCCAGGGCTACATAGTGAGACTGTTTCAAAAAAAATGATGGTGGCACACACCATCCCAGCACTTGGGAAAATAAGGCAGAAAGATCAGAAGGTTGAGGTCAGCCTGGGCTATAAGATCTTGTCTTGAAAAGGTTAAGGGGACTGGAGAGATGGCTGGTGGTTAAGAGCACTGGCTGCTCTTACAGAGGACTCAGGCTCAGTTCCCAACACCTGACATGGTGAATACAGCCATCAGTAACTTCAGTTCTAGGGGATCTGTTGCTCTGATCTGACCTCCATCGGCGTTGCATGGTACAGATAGGCTTACATGCTTGCAGGCAACACATTCGTACACATAAAATAAAACTAAAATATATTTTTTAAAAAGTTAAATGAAGGGAGGAAAGTAGGGGGCCTGGGATATAGCTCAGTTGGTAGACCGCTTGCCTAGCATGCACTAAGCCCTGGGTTCAGTCTCCAGAACTCTCGAGGTGGAGACAGGAAGACCAGGAGTTGAAGGTTGTCTTAGGCTATGTAGTAAAAAGTCTGAGCAGATTCTGGACACTGCAGCAAACCTCCCTGAAATCTTTGAAAATGCACTCTTTTCCCAGATAGGTAATAAGAATAAGCAAAGCAGGGCTGGAGAGACCCTCAGAGGTTACAAGCACCAGATGCTCTTACAGAAGACCTAGGTTTGATTTCTAGCACCCACACAGTGGCTAAGAATTGTCCATAACTCCAGTTCCAGAGGATCTGACACTTTCTTCCCCGGACATTGCACAATACAAGTGCACTCACATACATGCAGGCAGCACACTCATAAAATGTGAATAAAATATTTTTTAAAAAAAGAGTAAACTGTGGGCTGGAGAGATAGCTCAGTAGTTAAGAGCACTGATTGTTCTTGCAGTGGACCTGGGTTCGATTCCCAGCACCCTACAATGGTGGCTGACAATTGTAGCTCCAGTTCCAGGGGAATCCCATGATCTTTTCTCATCTCTGAGGGTATTGCACAACATGGGTGCACTTACATACATGCAGGCAGTAATACACTTATACACATAAAAATAGTAAATAAGCCAGACATGGTGGTGCACACCTTTAATCCCAGCACTTGGGAGGCAGAGGCAGATGGATCTCTGAGTTCAAGGACAGCCTGGTTATAGCGAGTTCCAGGCTAGCTGGAGCTACAGGGAGACCCTGTCTCAAAAAGACCCCCACCAAAATAATAATAATAATAAATAAAATATTTTTAAAAATAAAAAAGTAAACAAGGTAATGTTTAAAGTAAACAAGGTGTGATGGTGCACTTGGGAGTGGAGGCAGGAGGATCCCTGCTAGTTTGAGGCCAGCCTGGGCTGCATGGTGAGATACTATCAGGGAGAGAGAAGGAGAGAACCTGTATTGTTAAAAAGAGAAACATTAAATGAGAGAAATAGAGGTAGGTGTCATCAAACTTATGAGTGTGTCTGGACCAGCAGATGGCTGGCTTTTGATTTCTGTAGAACTGATCCATTCTGAAAATGGCTGTCCTCTTACAGACAGTAGCTGTCACATCACAGGTGGAACCCCTCAGGCTTTGTGTGCCCTCCTCCCTGGGTGTGATGGCTTCTCTGAGTTCATAAAATTTATACCACTCTTTTGGGGTGTTCTTCCCAGGCTACCTCGGACCCGAGCAGCTGCCAGACTGCCTGAAAGGTTGTGACGTGGTAGTGATCCCAGCTGGAGTCCCCAGGAAACCAGGTGTGTATTTGAAACCCTATTGGGGCTACAAGATGGCTCAACAGTTAAGAACACTGGTTACTCTATCTGAGGACTATGTTCAGTTCCCAGCACCCATGTCCCATGTTAGGCAGCTTGAAACCACCTACAGCCCCAAGGGATCTGATGCCCCTTCTGGCCTCTGGGCACCTGCACACATAAAAATATACATAAATAAATCTTTAAATGTTTGAAAAGAAAAGCTCAACATGTCCCTCCACGTCAGCCAGGAAAATCTTTTTCCCATGTATGTGTGTTTAATTCATCTCTCACTGCAGAAAAACCCCAAAGGCTCACCCTGGCTTGAGGGCAAAGGTCAAACACCCACCTAGAAAAAAAAAGCCTACAAGTGGCTGCTGGGGCTACCCAGCACAAAACTCCAGTTGACAGCAGGTGTCACTGTGCTTGGTACCCTGTCTCCACCCAGCTCCACTGCAGGATTCTTGCTAATTTCTGATGATCCTTCTCAGCCGCTTATTCCTGTGCGCAGACCTCTCTATGCTTAGTGTTTTCCCTGTAACAAAGGTATGCTTGAAGTGGGAGCCCAACTGGTGATGGTTAATAATTAGCAACTGGTCGCTGTTTCGAAATGTCATGTGGGCTATCAAAATGGCTCAGCCAGTAAAGGTGCTTTGCTGGTGACCGAAGTTGATCCCTGGTACACACATGGTGGAAGGAGAAAACCAATTCTTGAAAGTTGTCCTCTGACACATGGCTCAGAGATTTTTTTTTTTTTTTTTTTTTTATTTACCCTCTAGCATCTTCTCCAGTTGCATTAGTTTTAGCAGAGACTGCTGCGTGGAAGTGTAGATTTAAGAAAAGAAAAGAAAGGTGGGTGTGGCACAGGTCTTCAATCTCAGCACTCAGGAGGCAGAGGCAAGCAGATCTGTGAGTTTGAGGCCAGCCTGGTCTTTATGCTGAATTCCAGACCAGCTAAGGGCCACATAGACCCTGTCTTAAAAAAAAAAAAAAAGACAAAAAAAAATTATCTTTGACAGGGGCTGGAGGGTTAGTTGGCTTGGCGGTTAAGAATACTGGCTGCTCTTGGAGGGGACCTGGATTTGATTCCCAGCACTCACATAGTGCCTAACAACCATCTGTAAT